AATTTCGTGGATTTTTGGGGTGATTTCGCAGATTTTGGCGTAACTTCGTGGATTTTGGGGTAATTTCGCTGGTGTGGGGGTAATCTTGGTGTAATTTAATGGATTTTGGGGTAATTTAATGGATTTTTGGGGTAATTTAGCAAATTTTGGGGTAACTTCGTGGATTTGGGGGGTAATTTCGCGCATTTTGGCGTAATTTTGGGGTAACTTCGTGGATTTGGGGGGTAATTTCGCTGATTTTTGGGGGGAATTTCTCAGATTTTGGGGCAATTTCGTGGAATTTTGGGGTAATTTCGGGGTAACTTCGCGGATTTTGGGGGTGATCTGTCGGTTTTTGCGCTGTCCCTGCAGCGCCGGGGGGGTCCCCTAGATGTCCCCATTCCACACGGGATGGCGGTCACGGCTGGGGAGGGCTGGAAATGTCACACGGCTGGGTGACATCCCCCAAAGCCACGCCTGGAATTCCCGGGAATTCCCTGGAATTCGCGTTCCCGGCAATTGCAGACGAGCCGTGCCAGTCTGTTATCCCGGGATTCCGAGAGGGATTCCGAGCCAGGGCAGCCCCGGGATTTGGGTTTTCCATGCGGGCATCGGGCACGGCCGAACCGGGCAGGGCCGAACCGAGCCGGGCTGTACCCAGGCTGAACCGTGCCAGGCAGAACCGGGCTGTGCCCGGGCTGAACCGTGCCAAGACGACGTGGCAGAAGCGAACCCGGGCTGAGCCGTGCCGGTCAGGGCGGACCTGGACCCAGCTGGGCAGGGCTGGGCTGTATCCAAACCGAACCGTGCCGTGCCAGGGCAGAGCCGTGCCCAGGGTGAACCGTGCCCGGGATGAGCTGTGACAGTCCGGGTGGGCAGTGCCCAGTGTGTGCCATACCCGGACCGAGCCGAGCCGGGCGGTGCCGTGTCCGAACCGTGCCCTGTCTGTGCCATACCCAGAACGAGCCGAGCCGTGCTGGGCGGTGCCATCCCCGCACCGAGCCGTGCCAAGCTGGGCGGTGCCGTGTCCGGACCGAGCCGTGCCAAGCTGGGCGGTGCCGTGTCCGGACCGAGCCGTGCCAAGCTGGGCGGTGCCGTGCCCGGACCATGCCCTGTCTGTGCCATACCCGGTCTGAGTCGTGCTGGGCGGTGCCGTGCCCTGTCTGTGCCATCCCCGGACCAAACCGAGCCGAGCCGGGTGGTGCCGTGTCCGGACCGTGCCCTGTCTGTGCCATACCCGGACCGAGCCCTGGGTGTGCCATACCCGGACCGAGCCAAGTGGAGCCGAGCCGGGCGGTGCCGTGCCTGGACCGAGACCTGTCTGTGCCATCCCCGGACCAAACCGAGCCGAACCGGGTGGTGCCATACCCGGACTGTGCCCTATCCGTGCCATACCCGGACTGTGCCCTGTCTGTGCCATACCCGGACAGAGCCAAGCCGAGCCGGGCCGTGCCATACCCGGACCGAACCCTGTCCGTGCCATATCAGGACCGAGCCCTGTCTGTGCCATACCCGGACCGAGCCGAGCCGTGCAGGGCGGTGCCGTGCCCGGTCTATACCCTAGCCGGACCGAGCCCTGTCTGTGTGTGCCATGCCGTGCCGTGTCCGGACTGTGCCCTGTGTGTGCCATACCCGGGCCGTGCCCTATCCGTTCCATACCCAGCCCAAACCGAGCGGAGCCGGGCGGTGCCGGCCGGGCGGGCAGAGAGCTCAGGCAGCCAATAACTCTGTCCCAGCCCAGCCCGGCCCAGCCCAGCCCGGCCCAGCCCAGCAGGTGGAGCGGCTCCGTTCCATGTGCGCTCTGGGGGCGGCCCCGGTGCCGGTCCCGCCTCGCCGCTCCCCGGGCTCATCGAGCGGCTCGGTCGTGCCGGGGCCGCTCTCCGGGATGGCTTTCGCCAATTTCCGCCGCATCCTGCGCCTCTCCGCCTTCGAGAAGCGCCGCTCCAAGGAATACGAGCACGTCCGCCGTGACCTGGACCCCGGCGAGGTGTGGGAGGTGGTGGGCGAGCTGGGAGATGGAGCTTTTGGAAAAGTCTACAAGGTGGGTGCTCGGTCCGGACACAGCGTCCCGTTAGCCGGGAGGAGCCGGGTTTGGGAGCACAGCGCTCCGGGAAGGCGAAAAGAAGGAGAAAAGCTTCCTTCTTTTTTTTTTTATTTTCCTGCCTTTTTTTTTTTTTTTTTACTCCTTTTTATTTTTTGGTCGCCCTGAATCGTCCGTTTTCAGAGCGGTGCTTTTATGGGGAGACCCCGGCGCTGGCTGCCAAGCCCGCTGAATGAATGGAGAGCGAGATTTCTTGGAAATCGGCACTTCCAGCGCTGTCTCCAAGTTTTTTTGGAGTCTCCAGGGGTAACACGGGATTTGTATCCCCGCGGTTGGAAACTTGGGAGGGCCGAGAGGAGCCGGGTCCAGTGCTGTGAATGTTTAACCTCGGGCTTTAGGGACGGGGGTTTGAAGGACCAAAGATTCTCTGGACTTTGAGCTCCAAAGCAGCGGCTCTGAAATTGTTCTGTGCGGGCTTGAGCCGGGGGGGGTTCGGGCTGAAGGAGCGGCGTGGCCATCTGGAGGCTCCCGGGAACACCTGTGTGACATTCGGGGACACCTGTGTGTGTGCGTGTGACATCCCGGGGACACCTGTGTGACATCCCGGGCACACCTGTGTGTGTGTGACATCCTGGGGACACCTGTGTGACATCCCAGGCACATCTGTGAGTGTGTGTGACATCCTGGGGACACCTGTGTGACATCCCAGGCACACCTGTGTGTGTGTGACATCCCGGGCACACCTGTGCGACGTCTCAGGATCACCTGTGTGACATCCCGGGCACACCTGTGTGACATCCCGGGGACACCTGTGTGTGTGTGACAGGCGCGGTTTGGAATGGGGGTGGGCAGCCGGGCTCTGATGGCCTCGTGAGATCATTTGGGAAGGTGTTGCCTTTAAAAAAAAAAAAAAAAGAGAAATAAACAGGAAGAGAGGCAGGTGACTGGACAGGGGGGGTTGGTGTTTGTTCTCCTCTCTGTCACATTATTTAACAGAAACTCTAAAAAACTGAGTGCTAAATACCCTTTGAGAAAAACTTTTTCGTGAAGTTTCTAATCTAATTCTGTCTTCTAATAAAACACAATTCCTAAAAATCATGCTTAAATCCCTTCTCCATTTATGCTTCTGAAAGCAGCATCAGTAAAAATTCTGCTGTGTGAGGTGCATTGGAAACACATTTGTGTGTAGCAACACTCACTCCTGGATGATTCCTTGCTTTTATTTGCTCAAGCAGTGACAGGAACCAGGTAAACACTGTAAAATGACTTCATTGGCCTCTGAGAGAAAGGAAAACTTAAATAATTATGAAAATACTTTCTATTTTAAACAGGTATCATGTACCCAAAGTAGTAGAGAACAAAGCTGCTTTAGAGGTGCCTGGTTTGGTTTTTAGTCTGAATGCCTCAGTTATTAACCCCAGCCTCACACCGGGGAAACCTTTGTCACAGTAACTTTATTACTGTAGGTAAAGCATTCAGCCTGCCAGGCAATAATATCTCATCTTCAGCTCCTTTCATCCCCATTTTGACCCAAATGAGAATAAAAATCTCCCAGTGGACACCATGTGTTTACAACCAGAAATTCACTCCTCCTGGAACTTGAATATTCAGGCAGATTTTTGCTTTTGTGGAGTTTTAACCCTGTTAGGCAGGGTGAGGTTTAACATCGTGCCAGAAATCAAAGGGTTATTTTATTGCATTTAGCAACATTTCATTTCTCCATTGCTTTGATCTGTTCTCCACCTGTTCTCCGTTCCATCTGGCAAATGGTCATGGTTGGATTTTGAATTCTCATCCAAGAGTTTGTTTGTTCATTTAAGAATCCCAGATTATTTGGAGGTCCTGTGCTATAAATCCTTATTTTAGGTAATAACCAGAGACACATTTACCCTTCACCTAAGTTTGGGTTTTTTTTGTCATCCTTTCTTATTTTTATAACCGGGGTAGGGATGAGTGTAAGGTGAGATGTGAAAGGGTTTGACTTTTTGTGCTGCTCAGCTGCCAAAAATTTTCAGAATGACCCACCAAAAACTGCAGAATAACCCACCAAAAACTGCAGAATAACCCACCAAAAACTGCAGAATAACCCACCAAAAACTGCAGAATAACCCACCAAAAAATGCAGAATAACCCACCAAAAAATGCAGAATAACCCACCAAAAAAGCAGCTGAATGACCCCCCCTGTGCTCCAGGAGAACCCAAAATTCCGTGAACAATTCGACTCGTTCTCTTGACCTCAAATCAATTTGATTTTCTCTCTAAAGGCACTGCTTGGAGCCAGGCTGAGTGTTTGCAGAGCCCTGAGGATTTCAGGATGTTGCATTGAATTCCTGCCTCTTTTCCGCCCCTTTTCCACACCCGGAAGCGTGGGGAGGTGACAGAATCCTGTGCCTGCATCCTGTCCCGTGTGCCATATGCTGTGTCCCCTTGGAAAGGGGCTTTGTACTCTGGACAAAGTCAGACAGGGAGAAATTGAAATGTGGAAAGATGGAAAAATAAGCTGGGTTTAGTAGGATTTGGGTTTATGGGGTTGGATGTGAGCAGGAGGAAGGAGGGCTCAGGGATTTTGGGGTATTCCTGCCCTGTGGAATCCTGTCTGGAGCTTTGTCCTGGGCTGAGTAAAGCTTCACACAGTTCTTCCAAAAGTAGGACAGGCTTCATTTAAATACACATTCATTAAAAAAACCCGAAATTTATAGTGGAGTCTGGATCGTAGAGAGCAGACCTAAAAAACCTGTGGCCAGCAGAGACAACAGCTGGGATTTCCCTGTTTTTATAGAAAGTCTTTTTTCAGCAAAAGAGGATCTGCCTGCATGAGGAACCAGTTGAACAGAGGGTAATGAAGCTGAAAAGTAAGAGGGGATGGGGAGGAAATATTTCTTTCTAGTTCTTATTCTGTGAATGCTGTGGTTTTGGCAAGGCCAGAGGTCCAAGGAGGACGTGGTGGCAGCCCACAGGTGACAAAGCTTTGTCACCACCTCATCCAAAGCTTAAATCCAGCACTGGGGAGGCTCCAGCCCACCCAGGGTTGGGGACCTGTAAAAATTCCTCACTCAGACCCTTCCCAAGAAGAAAAGCAAAGTTATTTTTCTGGGAAAAAAAAACACCTAAGATACCCAGAACACCTGAGATAAACCCAGTGTTGTCACTTCAGAGCTGGCATCATTTTGGGAGAGCTCTCAGGGAGGATGCTCAGGGTGAAACCAGCAGTGCTGCATCCCCTGAAAAATGGAGAATTCACTGCATCCCCTGAAAAATGGAGAATTCACTGCATCCCCTGCTGGTGATGTGCTGCTGGTAATGGGAGCCTCAGTGAGACCCCAAAAGTGCCCAGGCAGTTCTTGCAAGCCTTGCCCAGGTAGAATTGAGGCTCACAATTTGCCTTTGGAGCCAGCAGAGGAGGAGATCGAGACTTAAAGATGAGATGATTCCATTGAGTTTTTATTTCTTCTACGAAGGGGGTCCAGTCCAGCAAATCCCCCCGGGTGGGGTTTTAAGGGGCTTTTTTATAGGGTTTAAGGGTTTTGTATTTTGCACCAATGACCAAAGGAATTCTATAACTAACCAATTCACAAAGGACTTTAGGGAAAAAAAGAGAAAATTATCTAAGAGGAAAATGCACCACTAAAATTACAGAAAGATAACACGGGGGTCTACAGTGGGGTGAGATGCTCCTTGATATTAATCACTCTAATCAAACCATTTTTTTTTTTTTTTTATCCCCTCTCTGGGGGTTGGTCTCTGCTCCAGAAATGGTTTCTGCTGCCTGCACAGCGATGCCCTGGTGGGCACAGAGACAGGACAGCCCGGACCCCCCTGCCTTTCTCCTGGGGGATTCTTTGGCTGTCCCTGTGCCTCTTGTGCAGCCCTATCTGCCCAGCCCAGCGCCTGCTGATGGGGACATTGGCTCCTCGATAAGGCAGGGTGGGGACACAGCCCCCAGCCCCCCGCACGCTGGGAAAGGGTTTATTATTCACTTTATTCGCTTCAAAATCGCCTTCAAACAGCTCCGGGGCCACAGCGAGCCACCGGCGCAGCTTTTTGTGTTGTTCTCCTTTCTTCTCTCTTAAAAAAAAAAAGGCGAATTTGGGTTATCTGATGGGTTGTGCTGCTATCGGTGCTGTGCACGCCGCGGGCTGGAAAGGCGCCTTTGACAGGGGGGGAATAAAAGGGTCGATTGTTGGGTGGTGTTGTGCAGCTGCCCGGCAGCACTGGGCATGTTTGTGGGGATGTTTGTGGGCACCAGGGTGGTCCTGGCACCCCCAGACCCTTCTGCTCATCACCCCCAACCTGCGTTGGCTCGGGAGATTCAGGCTCAGCAGGTTTAGGTGGGATTTTGGGAAGGAATTGTTCCCTGGGAGGGTGGGGATGCCCTGGCACAGGGGGCACAGAGAAGCTGTGGCTGTCCCTGGATCCCTGGAAATGTCCCAGGCCAGCTTGGAGCAACCTGGGCTATGGAAGGTGGCCCTGCCCATGGCAACAAAATGAGCATTAAAGGTCTCTTCCAGCCCAAATCCTTCTGTGGTTCTGCAATTTAATCTGTAATTCCTGGAAAGGGTGTCACGGAGAGATGTTAATCTGCTGAGTTAACTTTGAAAAGAAAAGGGAAGGAAAACAGAAGCAGGGGAAGTTTGGGCTCATTGGCCACCAAAAATGCAGGCTCAAATCATGGTCTTGTCCTTTAGAGCAGCTGAAGGGTTTAATTAAAATCTTTTTTGCTTGGGAAAGAGAAACGGGAAGGTTTAAGGCTGAACTTTTAACTTGATTTTCACTTTCAGTGGATGGAGACGTGGGATGCTCCATCCCCGTGCTCTGTGGCTGTGACAGGGGACAGGGACAGATCTCCATGGCCTAAATATTTTGACAATGACTTCAGTGGCACAGCCCAGATCTTGGCAGTGGGAGCTGTGGGCAGCTCAGATGAGCTCTCACCCTCGAGCACGTGGCAATTGTTGCTGCTCAGAAAAACTCCCTGCACATCTCCCGACTTTTTTAAATG